GTCAAGTGATCGATAATCCTATCCCTCACAACAGATTCCATCAGCTTACAAACAACACTTGTCAGACTGACAGGGCGATAGTTGCCGGGGCTGCTTTTGTCACCTTTTTTGAACAATGGTGTTACTTGAGCTTCTTTCCCGTCGGACGGCAAAGTTCCTTCGTTCAAGGTTTTGAGCAATCTGGGATGGAAGTCATCTGGTCCACATGACTTGTTGGGATTTAGAGTTACCAGGCGCTTGAGAACCTCTTCTTCGTGTATTTCAAAACCTATTAACTTCGAGCCGACTGGGCGTTCCTCAATATCTGGAATACTGTTCAAGTTCTCATCTGTGAACACACTGCTGAAGAACTGATTAAGAACGTTTATCTTGCCCTCATCAGAGGAAATCTTTCGTTGGCCTACTTTCAAATCAGATATACCATCATTTGACTTACACTCCGAACTAGCGTACAAAAAAAGGCTTTCGGATTCTTTTTTGCATTTTTAGCAATATTTTTTCGAAGTTTTCTTTCCCTTTGGTTTTCTCGGAAGCATTTACCAATACATGGCCTTTATATAAGATACGTTGCCATTAACTGATTAAGGACGCCACCTGGCAATTATTCTCAGATAGTTAACTAAGATTTTTATTATATTTTTAACCTTCAATTTCAGGGAATACCAGAAGAATTTGTCTTCAAACAAGCACCTTCAAGTTCAACACACTCACCAGCACAGGGCCATCTCTCAATGTCCTCATCCGCACTTTCAGCTGAACTTCACAATCAAGTCTGTTCATAATCATTGATTGATAATGAAAAATAAACAGTTATATTAATTTTTTGTGTGATACTGTTTTCAAAGTTCATTTATACCAAATAATATATATTAACAAGTTTGCAATCTTGCAAATATTTTTAGGGAAAGCTAATGGCACATTTTGCCTTTAACATACTGCAGAGTTATTTTGCAAACAATGCAATCGTGTGTTTAAAAAATGGTGACTCATTTAGTTCAGTTCAGTCCTAGATATCAACCAAATTTTTTAACAATCATTTTAAAAGATATAAAGCTATTCTGTAAATTTTGACAGATAGTCAAAAAATATATTATAAAAATGTATAAAAGTATAATAATATGCGTTTAAAAATTACTTTTTAAAGACAACACTTCCAGAGAATCCAGTGTCTCCAATCTTAAAGATGTACCATGAATTTCTCATTGAATTTTCGAATATTAAAAAAATTAATTTTTCAATTTTTTTAATATAGAAATTTTTTTGATACATAAATTTTTTCAAAATTATTTATTCTATTAATTGATTCATGCATTGAAACTTTACACAAGTGGGCAAAATTTCAGATCGATAGGATAAGTAGAAGTGTATTAAATTTTGATCACAAGATTTGTAGCAGACAGACAGACAAACAGACAGACAAACAAGAAGTGAAGTTAAAGAGAAGTGTTGTAAAAATATATCAATATTTGCTACAGAATTAATCTCTGTCACACAATGCATTAGTTAAGCACACTTTTAAGTCATGCTTCTGATAATTATCACAGATAATCATTGTCAATTCTTATCATTGCGCAAGTTCTGAATTGCGCGTCGCTCGTATCGAAATTCTTTCTTCAATAATAGACATTAAGTTGTTAAAATAAAATTGAAACAACAGCAATTGATTTTGGTCGTGCGTGATAAATGTGATAAATGGATATACATATTTTTTATTACTATCACACGTTTTCCTGTAAAGAATTGAATTGTTAACTATTTACCCGAGATCAAAATAGTAATATGTTACATCTGATAACGCCTTTGCTTGTAATTATATCTCAATAAATATGAAATTTATTATTTAAAATCACGCTTAGAACTCGGTTCGTTCAGAAAATGTATATACCAACTAACCGCGTGTAAGAGTGCATATGAGCAAACTCTTTCGTCAGATTATCCATCGTATAAATGACTGATTTGAGCTATAATTATTTCGCTCAGCGATGAATTTCATGAAACTGTCAATAATGATTACTATGAAAACCTCATTTGCAAGCTGCAAATATGGGAAATCAATTCGGAACGCGGCATTCCTCTCATTGTAACAGGGTTAATTATTGGTTTATATCACAAAATAAATCAGTTCATTCATATTTTACCCATAATTACTTTGTATCAATATTTTTTGTAATTTTAGGGTAATAGTTATCTTGCACCATTTTAGGGTGAGGAAACTGACTTCTATAGGACTGTAGTAAACACGGGAGCGCAGCCGTGCACCACCAATGTTGTGCACCAATAAGCCCTGAATCGAACGCCTTGGATCTCTCATGACCTACACCAATCAGCCGTGCACCATTCGGCTTTGTCCTCTTCCGGCCTTGACCACCACCTGCCGTGCACCACCAGGCCGCGGATCGAATATGACTTCCAGGCATCGTTAAATTACGTAATTTTACGTTCACCGCATCTGAGGTTAGGTTTCAGATAGCATATCCAAAATTTATCGTCCTTCGACAAGTGGCCGTTCGACCGAGAGCTGGTTCGACCCACGGCCTAGATACGGACGGCTTGAAGTGTTGAAGGCTACGTTCCGGAAGGCAGGAATTATGATGGTCCATTACATCCAGGGCAGTGGTGGTCTTCGGCGGGCGACCCGTAAACACACGGTCTTGGCATGTCTGGCTGCAATACTCCCGGTAAGTCGTCGCACAGATTGTAACTAGGGTAGTGTGTTAGGGAACCAAATTTCACTAATTTTTGATGCTCATGTGTACGCTAAATTCATTCTCTTGTTCAATTAATTAAGATTTAGAATAGAATAGAAGTGTCAGCACTGAAGAAATAGGCCCATGGCCTGTTGATTTGTTCATGATGCGTTAATGTTCTGTTATTGTGTTCTGTATTGTTGTTTTGTTTATTTGATTACTTATACTATTTATACCATTTCATTATTTCTTCAAGTTATGTTAAGTCGGCCCATGCTCTTTTATTCCCTGGTTTTATTAAATTTGTAATCTGATCCCAAAACATTTACATCTATCTTTCCTTCTTATTTATTCATGGCCTCTGCGCTAATAGTTTACTAAGTTATTTGCCTGAGAGGTATACAGTAAGTAGGTCACCTAGGGTTGACCTCACCTGCAAATGCGCCGGCAAAATCGTCGATCACATTAAAATAGAGCTGATTTTGTGGAAGACTCTAGATATAAGAATTCGTAAGCAGAGGAAATGAACCATGTCTTCATTGAAACGTTCACAAGTCCAGTTCTATCGTCAGCTAGTACAACCTAGAATACAAATCAACTAACGCAAAGGAAATTCACAGAGTAAATATTGAAAGAATCCAGATTCCGAACCATTCTCTATAATTTCTGTTGTCAGTCGACTATACTCTAATAAAAGTTTTTAACTAGCGACGAATGAAGACTCTGGTAAAGAGAATAAACGTTTTAAACATTCCAAGTGAAGACAGGGTGAATTTATTTTATTCCATATAAGTTATTTATTATGTAAGTTATTATTGATCGTAATTCTTGATACGCAAATGCAAAGGATTGTGGTAGGTTGTATTATGCCTGCACAATAACGGTTTACTGGGTCACGATGGACAGAATTTCCTCGTGATAGTTTGTCATCCATAAGACGTTCGCTGTAACACGCTCGATGGCTTGGTCGACAGCACGTGAGGCAGACCCTAGGCTTGTTAGGTACTTCTCCTTGAAAGCAATCAGCTGCACGGAACAAGATTACGTTACATAGCTAAAATCTCATGACAAAAATCTGAATCCTAAAATATGCTTGTTATTTTTAAGAGTATGAAACAAACTGGTGTGAATTATGAAAAAGATCACAACAGAGACAAAAATGAACGTGAACACCAGTCAGCTGGGAAGTGTGATGGGACATTGATTCGGAATCCGACAAAGGAAAGCTATCTTGATAAAATTCTGTACATCTTATTCTGTTTGAATTATTATTAGCATTTAGTGGCTGTACTGAAGTTTTTCATGTTTAGTCTCTATCCCGTAGACAACTGGAATACAAAAACCGCAAAAGGCTGAGTTTGATTAAGCGTGAGAAAATACGGGTGGACTCACAGAGTTTGCGGATCGAAATAATTCTTTTGGAGCAGTTAAATTTCTCTACGTGGATAAATAAAAGCTATAACGTTATTTTAAAATAATGAATTCATTATTTTAATGTTGATATTAGGTACGAACTACGAAGCTTCTCTAATTCGTGATTTCAAACGACCGAGAATCACTAACCTTGTCCAGCTCAGCTTGCGTATTGAACTCTCTGGTTACAGATTCGACGTAACTACTCGCACTCAGGAGTAAGTTGAAGCTGTCGAAGGTTTAAAAAAACATTATCACACACAACTGATGGACGTTTGAAATTTCGTGAACTTTTTTATTATGAATCACTCAAAGTTTCAACAATTTTATTGATCATAGCTTTTCACTGCTATGCTTGTTCGAAGATGAGAAAAACTGACAGTTATAGGTACATATTCTCACTATTTATTTGATAGTAAACTCACTCATTCGCTCTACGAGGGAATTTACTCACTCATTCGCTCTACGAGGGAATTTATAACTTGTACTCACTAGGCTGCTACGTGTTCGAAATTTTTGTCTAGATAATCAAAAGCGATGTTGCGGCCCAAGTCATTAGAAGCCACGGCAGAGAAAACACGCTTTGAATCTTGTTTCCTCACCGGGCTGCCGTCAGTGAAGGCCATATCCAGGTAACTGTGACGAAGCATCATACATTAATTTTGATGGAACTCATTAACAGTGACACATCACGACGGCATTAAAAGCTTGCTACATGATTTCCTATAAAAAGAAATCTTTTTCTAAATACGTACGCTTCGAGGGTACTGATATTTTTCGAACATCCCAGTGCCGAGAGGAGTAAGTCGCGTTCTGATGCCAAAGAAGTATTCTTCATCACGTTCAATGCGAAGTCCCAGTCGGAGTCTTCTCCTTGAGCGATTCCCGAACAGTACACCGTCAATTTCAGGTTTGGTGACACGGTTCTGAGATTGCAAGTTAGTCTCGGTAAAACATGATTCAGAAGATAGTAATCCATTTACTTTACAGATTCTTCAACAATGCGCATATACAATCATAAAGAAGTCATAGTTCGTACAAGGATTGGCAGGAAGACTTATTCATACTCATGCAGTTGAACTAAACAAAAGGTCTTGACTGATATTCGAGATGAGAATATTTTTATAGCGCGAAATATTTCACTACTGCATGTTAATTTTTTTGCGACCTAGAGTATTGACATGGAAATTACAGCGGGTTATTTATAAAAATGAATTTCCGTTCTGAATTGCTAATTATCAAGATAGTAACAGGTTAAATCATTAGAAATTCAACATGAATTTCAATTGTTACCTTAAAACGAGTTATATATAATTGGTCATTCTTACGTCGGAGAGCCATTGCTAGCCAGCCATTCCGAAAAGAGGTCTCTGGATTGCTGCAAGCATTCGGACATAGCGAGCTTACAGGCCCATGAGACGACCAAACTCCGCATTAGCTTCTTCAGGTGCGCATCTGACGCGTTATCAGTGAACCCAAAAATATCGTATACAGGCTTCACCTGAGACCTCAGGTATTCCTTGGAAGAGAAATCGAAGTTTTTTAGAGTTGTTATCATGCAAATGATACTTAATTAGCACACGGTTGAGTTCCGAAAGCCATTCAATAAGAGGATATTAGAGGATACCTTCATCTCCGTGTGATTAAGCTGAGAGAACATCGACTCGAGGTATTCCAGGTTCCGTATAGCTGACGACCACGGTACGTAGTCTAATTCTTTAGTCAAGTAGGAGTGAAGCTTCAGAGCCACGTCATAAGAAAGCATGCCTGTGCACAAACAAAAATGAATAAGTATATACATTTATTAAGAAGAATGTATATGAATCTTGCAAAATATACATTCCGGTATAACCGTCCCAGACATGCCTGCTTTGGCCAAATTCATTGAGTCGTCGAGAAGTTGAGCTCTGTTTGCTGATCTTATGACGGTGTGGTTGGCTTTCAGCTGGTTGATTATAAGATTCCAGTTAGACAAGTCGTAATTCACTCGATAGTAACCGATTTGTTCTGTGTTGAATATAATCCAATACTCATCAGAGGGTAAGTCCGCAATTTCCATCTCAACTTCTGACAGCCATTGTACTTTTTCTCCTGCACTGCTGCTGCCCGACGGTCCGAAGTATGTGAGTGGCACCCACCACGTGTAGCCCGAAGTTGAATTACCATTCACCAGGAAATGTTCCTTGGAAGAGAGAAAACACGTGACACTTTTTATGGAACTTGGCCTTCTTTAGGATAAGACGTGCAGGCATTTAAGTAAGATATGAATGAAGTACCTGTCTGACGGTTGCATTTGTTCCATTTTTTCGCTCCACTGTGACTACAGGAAAGCCCATCTGTAGTGTCCAGGTGTCCATTATTTGTTTGACTGTAACATTAGAGTCAAGTGTGCTGTCATTGTGCGCCTGCTGCGTCAGGAACTCCCACAGTTGATCCTGTTCAGCGGCCGCGTACGACCTGGCCAATGTGAACATTAGCATATTTATCGCTCATTAGGAAATCTGTTGAACATTAGAAAATCAGTTTAACAATTGGATATCAGTTGAACATTAAGATATTAGGTGAACATTAAGATATTAGGTGAACTTTAAGATATTAGGTGAACATTTGGATATCAGTTGAAACACTTGGAAATTGGTTGAACATTGGGAAATCGGATAGACATGAGGAGATCGGTTGAATAACAAGAAATCGGTTGAAAATCAGCTGAAAATTAAGATATCAGTTCAAAAGCATTTTTCAATCAAGGGAGAAGGAAATAACGCTAAAAGAACTTAGTTTATTTATTCTTATTATCTCCTACGGATGGTAATCATGTAGGCAGATGAATCATTTGGTTATCAAAAAAGAGGCTTTTAGTCATTTTAGTGACATATGCCTTCCAAGAGTATCCACTATTGTTATTTTAGTTCTTTTATTTTTGAACTTACGCAACCACTGATTCATAGATGTCCGAGAGTAGGTTGTGGAAACAAGTCCTCATGTGTTTACCAGCAGACCTAGTTAGCTATTGAGTCCACGATGTCACTGAGACCCTCCCTTATACGCCGAGTCGCCAGCTTATACAGCATATGTGTCACGAGGAGAAGAACCCGGTGGGCGGAAGCGAAGGTTATACAGGGTGTCCCAAAAAAACGATACCCAACTTTGAATGGCTGTAACTCGAAAAGTAATAGAGTTAAAAAATTTTGGAAGGTCAGGATTTGTTTCATATGTTTTTCTCCATTTCTCCACCAAAAATCAGACAGGTCGATGTAGCCATAAGTGTTTGATAGAACTTTCAGTGACATGTGCTAAAATCGTGCTTGCGCAAAGTTTTAGTAAGATCATTTTGCATAATCATTACGTTGTCTTGACATGTTTTCTTTTCGCTGTTTGATTTTTAGCGCATTGTCTCATTTATGAAAAAAAGACACTATTGTGCTCGCCATGTCCGTCTGTCCGTCCGTCCGTCTGTCGTCCGTCTGTCTGTCCGTCTGTCTGTCCGTCCGTGACTTCATGTTTTCGTCGACGAGAAAATGCGCTCTCTGTCACTCACTGCAGTGAGTACTGAGTTACATTTTTTGTATCTTTGTTGAGACAAAACTTCACGCTTATCCTTCACGACCTTAGTAACGTAACTCGATCCTCAGGTAGAGCTTAATCGATGAGCACTGACATATATACTTATTTCGCGTGATAACTTTAATCAACAAAAATACTTCTATTTAGCTCTCAATCATGCTCGATGGACTTTGTATCGAAAATACTTAATAAAAATTGGAACGTATAGACTAATATGAACTACCATACTTCTAGCTGAGCTTGAACTGTAAATTAGTTTTCGAAACGAGCTATGTTACACAATTTTAGAGTATTCCAAGGACCATCATACATCAAATACTGCGATAATTTTTTATCTTCAGGCTTTAGCTTACCGGTCTTTGAGATAGTTAGTAATTCCTTTGTTGAAAGTTTCTTCCGTCAGGAAATGGCTCATCATCCGAATTATCGAAGCCCCTGAAGATAGCGTTTGTTAAGGTCATCGAAGAAATGAAATCATTGGCAACCCAGTAATATTTCATTAGTGTGATCACTGTGATGGCATTTACTTGTGTTTATGTTAGCAATGAAAGTCAAATCAAATAAATATGTTATTTCTTACCTTTGTTGAATAAAATTGCATCGAAAATTTCTTTTATTTCGTCCGGATGTTGTACAGGAATTCTGATAGGATAGGATGAAGTCAAGGCGTCTATACCCAAGACATGATGAACGTCAATCGTCACGAACTGATCCAGCATCTTCCATTCTGGTTTAGCCTGGAGGAGTTTTAAAATATTCTTTCGTTTATGTGAAAAAGTCGTTGTAAAATTCTTGTTGATATTTTTTTAACTACAAATAGAAAAGGAATTCTTCTTACAACTGCACCTTGGAGGTTAAGGAACATTATAGCTGGCATATTTTCATTTTCAGTGTATTCAGTTTTCGGTTTCTATCAGTTCCATAAGGTTTAAAGCTCCTACAACCCAAAAATCCTTCTAAAACGCCAGTATTTTTCTTTGATATTGAAATCTTTAAAACCTTTCAAATTACCAACCCAGCATCATATTAAATATAATCGGGTTACCCACATGATCGAGGCCAATGTACTCCATATAAGAAGCAAACCCTTCGTTCAGCCACAAGTCCGTCCACCAAGAAGGCGTGACCAAATTGCCAACCCTGCATCATATTAAATATAATCGGGTTACTCACATGATCGAGGCCAATGTATTCCATATAAGAAGCGAAGCCTTCGTTCAGCCACAAATCCGTCCACCAAGAAGGCGTGACCAAATTACCAAACCATTGATGGGCCAACTCGTGCGCTACCACCACACCGATGTCCTGCAGGTTGGAAGCTGTGGACACTTTCTCGTCGTACAGCAACCGCGGCTCCCTGTTTTATTTTAGTGTTAATTAAACTAATGAAATTAGTGGCAATATTAAAAATAACTAAATCCACAGTGAATTAAATGTGATTGAAAGAAATACAATAACCAACAACATTGATAATATTACTGAAATTATAGGGAATATTGCTGAAAGAGCCTTTTTCACTACGTTAAAGATATTATAACAAAATTCATTTTTTTAATTATATTACTTGTCGTTTGATTTAAATATTACTACCTGAATATTGCCCTATTTTCAAATACCTGAAGGCTGTACAGTCTAACTGTAAGTTAAACAATCTACCTGGAGGTTATGCAGTCTACCTGTAGGTTATACGGTCTACCTATAGGCTATGCAGTCTAAGTGTCTAACTGTAGGTTATACAGTCGGGGGCGCAGCCGTAGGCCACAAATTTTACTCTTATATAAGCCCTGGAGCCAACGCCTAGCTTCACCATGCATTAACTTTACTCAGCCTCAGAACTAGAAGCCGCAGACTACGCTTGAACTCTGTAATCCAGGCAAGCGACACACTGCCGAAAGATAATAGCGCCGTAGGTCTTCAGCCAATGCTTAAGCATGCTCGCTCATAAGCAGGCAGTTCACCATCCGGCTGTACCTACCCCGGCCAAACTCTTCTGGCCTAACCTATTCACGCTGTCCTGTCCCGGCTCACAACCTTCTTGCAGCCAATGACTGGCTCTACCAGCGCACTTGGACCGCCTTTCTAACTTCTTGCAGCCAATGAGGTTAGGTTAGGTCCGCTCAGGTTTGTTTTGGGTAGAGAAAGGTTGCAGCTCGTATAGGTTAGGCCTGAAGAGGTTTGGCCAGATGCAGTATGGCCATGTTTACCTTTGGCAAGCTTATTTTGTGGCGGTGGACATATACGGCGCTATCGCTTTGAGCACTTGACTTCATTGGCCGTTATGCACTCTAACGTTCTTGCCTATGGAAAGGAATATGAACTAAGTGTGAAGTATGGCAAAGCTGGCCTCCGGCATGCGTCCCTTATACAGTCTACCTGTAGGTTATACAGTCTACCTGTAGGTTATACAGTCTACCTGTAGGTAATAAGGCCCCAATTCTCCATGGCGCCGGCAGCGAAGTCTGGTATGGCGATCATGTCTTGCTTGGGCAGCGGGTAGGGAATGTCGAAATGTTCTTCGAAGAATTCCAAGACGGTCACTCCAGTATCCAGTGCGAACTGTGCCTGTTCTACTCCTTCACTTCTCGCGTACACTTCACAGGAGAACAATTTATATCGTTAGTTTGATTGAAGCGCAAAGGAAGCAAGAAGAAAATAGAAAATTCACAGTAAATAAAATTTTGGCTTCTCAGTTTTTTTTCTCTTTTTTTCTTAAAAGCCAAATTTGGTATTGCTCTTTTCCTTATAATTGTATTTTATAAACTTTTGGGCTGATGATGGAGCTGGTCTTCGAATCGTTGTGATGAGTATTGTGAATTTATTTGCTTATTTATTTATTTTTTTGTTTTGCTTTTAAATTTTCGGAAGAATTTTTTTCGTCTAATAATAGATCATTGCTGGTTCTTCATAATAATACCTCGCACTTCATTCTTGTAAAAGAACAGTCTAAAATATGAAGGCCTATATTTATTTTACTTACATGTACTATAATAGGCCGATTTTTCAAATCAACTCCAAACCCTATTATTTAAATAAAATTATGAAAAAATTGAAACATATCCCGGTTTACTACAACTTCAAATTTGTGTTAGAAATTAGTCTTATTGTACTCTATTTCAACCAATACTCAAATAATAACATAATAATTATAATAATAATAAAAGCGGTTTCAGCGTTTATTAGGCCGTACATCGCAGAACATTCCCAGCATTTTGCGGTCTCGAACTCGCAACTCACTGATGCAATTTCGCTTATGCTTAACCGCCCGGCTTCCTCGCCGATTCTGACCAGAAACTGGCGCACTGAGCGGGATCGAACCCGCACCTCTCTGCTCCAATCTTGGTACTATGAACTTAAACCACTAGGCCACCCTGCCTGATAAAATTCATAATAACTATGAACTGATATCACCATCGAGTTTACACGACCTTTTAAGCCATTCGTTTCTATTGTGTAAACAAGGTTTCGTTAGGGTGAATTTTAAAAATTAAAATCAACTGAATGATGGTCAGCGTTCAATCAGAAAGGACCCTGAAAACGCGATTTGTATTCTCACCTCTGAATTCGACTCCAGTGCTTGTAGTGCTGTTCAGATATTCAAAATCAGACACTACGAAGGCCACAAGGTAGGTGGACATCGGCACACTTTCTTCAAACTTAGCCAACACCCACCCTGGTTGGTCATCTCTGCGGACGACATGAACTCGGTTATTAGCAGTAATTTATAATTAAATTATGTAGAGTAACAGAATTAAGTGTAGTACTTTACATTAGTTGGAGTGTTTTATAATGATGGTTAAATTTGATACTTGAAAATATAATGGACTCACACAGGAGCCGTTGAACTTAGTGGCATGTTGGAGATGACAGTCTTGTTTTCATGAATAATGGAAATAGAGAAGTTTGCCTTCAAAGCAGGCTCGTCGAAGCATGGGAAGGCTCTTCGGGCGTCTGTCGGCTGGAACTGAGTCGTTGCGATGTACCTGGAAATGTATAAACAATATTGACTAAATAAATAGGTACTACCATCTTAATAATCCAGTTCTATATTTCTTTAATGAAATTTTTAACTACTATCGACAAGCATTTAAAATTTGGCTCGCTGTTCATGGCTTGGAACCATTTACATTATCTCACTACCTCCTATAATCTATTTCTTACTATATAGTATTATACATCATTGATGTCTATATGAAACTTATCTTAATATATAGTGTTACACATCATTGAATTCATGATCCTGATCATTACACATTCCTTACACATCATTGCCTTCTTCGTCTTTGTACTCTGAGCGATAGAAGCCTCGCAGCTGATCATTCAGGAGCCCCGTATACTGCATGGAGAGCACCACCGTACGCCCGGGTTCCAAACGACGCTCCAGATGAAGGATAAAATACTCGAAGTCCTTGTGGTACTCGTAGACAGTGTGTGCGATCACAGCCCCATCTTGCGTGTTCTCTGTTACCTAAATTCGAGAGAAAAACGCTCTTGCATCCGCAGCCATAAAATAATTCCATTCTAAGATAGGTTAAGCGCTCCAAGTATGAACGCGTTCAAGAACAGACTAGATAAAGCTATGGAAAAGTATATATTCAGATTTGAAATGCCTAGCTCCTTATCGAACCCGGTGGAAGTCTAGTAGCTGCTTCAAACTATCGTCAGTCATGAAAAAAAATCCGGTCAAATGACACGATTTTAGATCTTCTATGAACAAGGCACGAAAAGGAAAAGAATCGGCGACAGGCCACATCAGGCCTACACTTCAGCGTCGACATCACTATGCTATGTTATGTTATGTTATGTTATGTTATGTTATGTTATGTTATGTTATGTTATGTTATGTTATGTTATGTTAAAGGAATTGAATCTCAAAGTTATTTTGAGACCTGGTGCATTTGCATACTAATAGTGACAGAAGGCTTCAACGATAAACCGTCAACAATTGAGTACCTGAATGGAGTTCCTTTTCACTTCAATGTCAGCCATGTGCAGAACAATGCGAGAAGTAGCACTCAGGACATCGATTGTAATGGTCACTTGACCATCGATGGAAAAATTTCCTCCAATGAATGGCTGAAGCGTGACGTCGTAGTGGACTGGCGAGAGCGCAAGCGGCAGTCTGATTGTCAGGGGCGGCTCCAGAGAAATGTTCTAAGATTACAGGAGAAAAACAATGTCTATTATGGTAACAAATGAAATTTTAATCATGCGAAAAACTCATAATCTGGGGGTGAACTGCTATACTCGTGAGCGAAAAAGTCAGCAATCATAATATCATAGCTCAAAATATTGTGTACCTGAAACATTTTTAATGTAGAAAGTTTCGATATTCCCACATATATTTTATTATTATAGCGGTTTCAGCGTTTATTAGGCTGTAAGCCTGTCGCCGAACATCGTAGAACATTCACAATACTTGTTGCGGACTGGAACCCGCACCTCTCTGCTCCAATCCTGGTACTCTGAACAGTAACCTCTGGGCCACTCTGCCCAGCGGTTATTGTCAACAGAGGTTCATCTTAAACTTTATAATTTATTTTGTTAAAATGCTACTTATTTCCAAAAGATGAAATAAAAATGTGCCCTCACCAGCCACGATGCTATGGAACCATAATTATTCTCCACCCATGCTATGTTGGTCGTGGTGCGGTCAATGGCTTGATCTACAGCCTGTGTCGCAGTGCTCAGAGTTTGGCTATTGTTCCATTTGAACTGCAGTAGCTGCGATGTAAAAAACAGAACATGTGTGGAATGTTTCACTGTGTGCTATGGTTTTATTCGAATGGACATTAAGTTATTATTGTAAACATATTTCTGCACTTTCAAGCGAAAACTTCGGCAACCCTATCAAACAATTTACAAAATGAGTGATGTTATTACATTGATATTAAGGAAATCTTTCAATGCGGAGATGGGAATTAATTGCTGTAAGAATAGTGGACAGAGGAGAAATTTGTTATTGTATAATATTTTTGGCTTTAATTATGTTTTGTCTCCTTGTACAAACCTCATCCAATTCATCTTGAGTCGAGAATTCTTTAGTTGCGTAATCAACAAGCCGACTTAGAGTTGTGAAGGCGTCAGACCTGAACAAAAATTGCGATTCAAACACTTGATAAAAATATTTCGATTATTGTCAAAAAACACTCATAAAAATAATAGTCAAAGTACTGTGCCTTCTTCAATAATTCTCAGAAAACAATTTCAGAATGTCGGCAATATTCGCATTCGTGAAAGATTTGAAGCTCACGTTGCTGCTATTGTTTCCCAGTTTTCGTTCAAATATCGCCAGGCAATTGCCTTGCCGACATCGTTGGCAGCGACTGAAGCGAAGACCGTTGTCGCATCTTGCTTCCTGATTCCACTGCCTTCTGTGAATGCCATTTCCAGGTACCTGTTGTTGAAGGTAACCGAAATACCGGCTGAATTGTTTATTTCTTCTTCTTCGTCAAATTATATCGGAACAAACATAAAGGGGTAACTAAACTCACGTTCTAGATTATCATTTCAACACTTGAAAATTTTAAATACAATATCTATGAATATTTCTATAGATATATTGCAAACTTTGTAACTCACTTCTGGAGGATCGTAGTGTTTCTAGAGCAGCCGAGAGCTCGAAGAAACAGGACCTGTTCAGTGGCGAGCTTGGTCTCCAAGTAACGGCCCCACATGACGTCCCACTCTTCATTGCCACCCTCAGCGATGCCAACGCAGTACACGGTGGACTTGAGGGACGGAGGCACTGCGCTATGATGGGTTTATCCATAAAATGGAATGAAGGTTAAAATGTGGATGTTGAAGCTTTGCGGAAAAATTCAAGTTTATCACACTTGTTTCATGTCACTGAACTGATAGGAAAATATGAATTTTTTACATTCGAAAAATTTGCAGTGATACCCACGTTAATATCTGGGAAGCATTACTATTGAGCCATTCGTCGAAATATTTGGTAGCTTTGGCGATGCAAGTTGTGTGTCCCAAATGGCATGCCTGAGTCACGGTTGATGCGAACAATAATTGTTCTTGGTGAGACATCGAGCTCTCCGACATCAACAGCATTTCGTCGTACAGAGGAGATATCAGGCCAAGAAGGAAGCTCTGAGTAGAGGTAGAGACGCGTGGTTAGCAGAATTACTTACGATTAGATTAAATTACTGAGCAATGGAGGGTACTATTAAAAGACTTTCTAGTTTCGTTGGTGATGATTGTAAAGAGTTTCTCATGCTGACCAATCAGAAGGTCTGCCGGTAAACATGCTCTCTTACCGTGAGCTGCTGGTAGTCTGGCCTGCCGGTAAACTTTCTCTTTTACCGTGAGCTGCTGGCAGTCTGGTCTGCCGGTAAACATGCTCTCTTACCGTTAGCTGCTGGTAGTCTGGTCTGACTTTTACCGTGAGCTGCTGGCAGTCTGGTCTGCCGGTAAACATGCTCTCTTACCGTGAGCTGCTGGTAGTCTGGTCTGCCGGTAAACATGCTCTCGAGGTAATTGAGATTGCGGATTGCAGACGCCCATGGCACGTAAGCTCGTTCCGATTTCAGGTATGTGCACAGTTCCAGGGCTGTCTGGTACGAAACGATTCCTGAAAAAAACGAAAGAAACCGATTTATTTTTCACTCAAAAATCAGGCATCAATTCTTTCTTTTAACAATCCAAATTAAGCAAAAATTACAAAGTAATCAATATACAATGGACACTTAAAGAGCTCCGCAAATCTGAAAATCCAATACCCAAACATCGCTTATAAAATCTGTTACTGTTATCTTAGAACAATGCCGAATCTTTTATCAATTCAAATAAAAATATTGCAGTGCTTCTTCTACATTGTTCAGCTTTGATATAGATGGAGACTTCGTTTGACCAGGGGTTCAAACTTACCTGCTCTCGCAAGATTTAAGACGTCGTCGAGTAGCTGAGCTCTGTTGACGACGTGTATGACTGAATGGTCGACTATCAGTTGCTGCGCAAAGGCTCTCCAGTTTGAAGCGTCGTAATTCACTCTGTAATACCCGTACTCCTCGACGTTGAAGAGGACCCATTCGTCTGCAGGAGCCACGTCATCGAGGACCTTCACTGACTCTTGGTTACTCATCCAGGTGATGTTGTCGCCACTGGAGGAGCTTTTGCTGGTGTAGGTGAGAGGAATCCACCACATGTACTCGGGTCCCTCGCTAGGTCCACGTGAACCGTCAGCGAGAAAACGTTCCTGTGAATAAAGTATCAAAATAAAGTAATTAAAGTTTAAAGTGACTCATCAAAATGTGGTCAGCAAGTAGGACTTACGTTTTTTTTTCAAATATCTAACTTGGTTTACAGAAAAATCAAGGTCCAAATTTCCCGCCAATTTATTCATCATCATCAAGTTTGGATGATTTTGAGTTAATGATGACGATTGAGCTTATTTTTTCGGTTGAATCTCTGCCAGGCAGCGCGCTATACGCGTAATAAGTCACCTGCGTGACGGTAGCGCTGCCGTTTTCGTGTCTGGTGACATTGATGTAGGGATAACCCATCTGCAGGGTCCAGGTGTCCATGATATCCTTCACAGACACGTTCGTCGGGAGGCGCCCGTCGGTCACCGCCTGCTCCGTCAGAGACTCCCACAGGTCGTCTTGGGTCGCCGCTTTGTAGGCCCTGCAATGAAAACAAAATTAATATTTTTCAGTTTATACGCTCTTTCATACCTCTTTATGACTATTTAGATTCATTTTGTTCATTTCTTTCCACAAAATTAATCGAATTTTTCCCGTGGGTATAACCAATTAATTTGCATTGCAAATGCTAATGAAGCAGTGAATATAACAAAATCAGATGTAGTGGGCACTTATTTCTTAGGCGATATCGTTTGCGGATATACCTTTATACTTTACTGCGCAAGTAGAGTTGCCTCGATTGTGCTTCAAAATTATCCAAAAGAAGATCAGTTCCTTGATACTTGCATAGTCGTTGGTCGAAAATAAATAATGCGTAATTGCTCATAAATAATATTCCAAATCATTCAATACCTTGAAAATTAAGACATCAGCTCACATTTTGTTGAGGTAATTGGTGAGACCCTGCAGGAATGTTGTGTTTCCAAGAGAACTTCTCAACATGCGCACCATACAAGCACCTGACGAGGACCAACATTCGTCAGATCAATTTCAGGAGCTTCTAAATTTTTATTGTGTTGCATAATACAGTGCGTTGGGAAAAGTAAAAAGTAAGGAGGCTTATTACACATTGACCTAAAAAAGATCATCTAAACACGAAGGCTCTGCTTGTTCTAGTTATCATGGGCCATACATTGGAACAGAGAAGCTACGGTCGATTTTTAGTGCTCGATTATAATATTGAATAATATTGATTATAATGCTCGACTCCGCCACGTCGATTCTAATATTGACAATAAGTTGTATGCATTAGATTGTAAATTTCAAACTAATAGATTATTTATCATGAATCTTCTTAGCAGTGACCTGTTCTCAACCTTACCAACGGGGAACAGTTATGAATATCTCGAATTACTTATAGTATATAGTATACTTATAGTATAGTATACTAATAGTATAGTATATAGTAGTTATAGCCTTGTTTAAAACAAGCAGTACCAAAGTTATTCATAACAAGCAGTGATTGGCGTTATAAACATTGTTCGATTCGACAACTATAAATCTACGGAGCGATGCCTAACTCAATAACTTCATTAAAGCTTTAATTAGTTGGTATAAGTATAGGGCACTCGCGCGCCTGTAAACCTGATAGTTTTCTTCTCAAACATCACTTCTTCGCTGGCTGACGCAAGCCAGCTTTTCTAGAGCCAAATTTTTCAGCGAACACATCATTCGAAGCCAAATGATAGAATATCATATGACTATATAGTCTATATTATTATATGATATCATTTCTGCTAACCTTTATTGTACGATATTAGGTCAAAGAGAGCCGTGATCTGAGCGGTGGTGTTGACCTCGACGTTGAGGGGGTGAGAAGTGAGCTGACTATCCAAGTCCATCACGAGGTGCATGTTTTCGTACACGAACATGTCCAGCAGTCCCCAGGAAGGCTCATGCTGTTTGGACAGTAACACTCATTGTTTTATTAAACATTATAACATTTTGATATTTCACATGACGGGAATCGGTGCAGATATGATATATATTGCTACACAGCCAATGCATTCAACGAGTAAAATAATCATATATTTCAGAATGCAAATAATTGTTCATAATTAAGATTAATAAGGAGAATTCTAGAACAAACGATTAGTGCGCTCTTTGAAAACGCTAGCTTTCGGAAATTGAATAAGTATTAACATAATCCTTACATGATCTAGTCCGATGTACTCGACGTACGAAGCAAAGCCTTCGTTAAGCCAGATATCCGACCACCAGGCTGGCGAGACCAGGTTCCCGAACCACTGATGGGCCAACTCGTGGGCAACCACCTGCCCCACACGCTGCTTGTTGCTCGGCGTCGACAGTACTGGGTCGTACAACATCGCTGTCTCTCTGTGCGATAGTTGGTCTAATTTAATCTACAACATCGCTGTCTCTCTGTGCGATAGTTGGTAAAATTTAATCTACAACATCGCTGTCTCTCTGTACGATAGTTGGTCTAATTTAATGTACAACATCGCTGTCTCTCTGTACGATAGTTGGTCTAATTTAATCTACAACATCGCTGTCTCTCTGTACGATAGTTGGTCTAATTTAATCTACAACAGATCGCTGTCTCTCTGTACGTGGTCTAATTTAATCTACAAAATGGCAGTCTCTGTACAGTAAAGATGAGACTGCTCTGATCCTATGGAGTAGAGGGGACTGCTATGGACACAAAGGATATTCTGATTTGGGGGACAATATCGCTATCGGTCTCATTGCGCGATAGTTCTTCAGAATTAACCCAAATCATTGGTATCTCTCCAAACTTTTATCAACAACAGTTCTTACAAAAATGTAAGACGATTCATTACGTGATGAATTTGAACACGTCAATTCATCAAAGTTCTGAAATTAAATTTAGTATTTAAATAGCTTCACGTATTTTAGAACTAATTACATATTTTGCTTATAAACATAATTTTTATCGTTGGTCCAAAACTGGGTCGTATGCGGAAATTTTTACATCAATATGTATTTAATCATACACTTTCACAGTATAATACCTGTAAATAATAAGTCCCCAGTTCTCCATAGCTCCGGCAGCGAAGTCTGGCACGGCCACCATATCGAGCTTGGATAGAGGGTACTGGATTTGGAAGTAGTCTTCGAAGAACTTGAGTACAGACGGTCCCACTTCTTTGGCGTAGGCGGCCTGAGCCATCGCCTCCGGACGTGTCATCACTATAAGCCGAAATAGATTCAATATTAGAGAAGAGACTTTTCACAAGGATTTATTTCTAGCTAGACATAAGTTATTGTTTTTAAACATAGGCCAATTTAAGAATTTTGATTAATAGATATTCTCTTCGTAATGATAGCGATAGTGCATTAAAGATAGTTTGTTTCGAAGATGACAATTCGAATCAAGATTTCTCACCGCTAAAATTGACCCTTTCTCCAACATCGATTTTTCTCACAACATTCCATTGAACGAAATCTTTTGTGAAGTCCGAAACCACGAACGCAACCAAGTAGGTTGACATAGGAACTGTCTTTTCAAATTTATCCAAAACCCAGCCAGGTTGATCCGACCTGTTAAAAGATCGGACAATTCAGTTAAAGTTTTCAGAGTGTCGTATTTCATCGAAATGCTAGCAATAAAATAAAATGACACAATGACTGCTTATAGTTTTCCTCTAAATTTGTGTTTAACGAGACAAAATTACGGTTTAACTACTGTGTTCATGAAAAAAAATATCAATAGATCAATTAGGTTAGTTATTCTACAGCACTACTGACAAGATCATTTATTTGTGTTTGCTTCAAATTCAACATTTAAAGATTGAACAGAAATTTCAATGACATTTTAGAGGTCGTTAAATATTATATATGAACAGCAAGGCGATTATTTTTTATTTTATTTAAAGGCGATTAGTGGAAAAATCAGAATTGAGGTCGGGGTCTATGCTTAAGTGGCCGCGACGAAGGCGGCATTCTGAGCATCGCTCGCACCTGTCGCTACTCCAGGCTAGTAAAGTACGTTTTCTGAAGAAATCGACGGAGGAAATTTCTAGAACCAAAGCTGCTTTCATACGCTCTTTGAGTAAGTTTAAAAATTAGTATGGTGTACACAAAGCAGACCAAAGTTAAAAATGGGACAAATTATTTGAAAGGAAATAGCATCACCGCCGACACAAGATTCCAGTTCAATCTTGATTTTACGAACTGCGTTACGTTGTTTCGTGCAAGGATAGATGTCAAATTTTTCTCAAAAATTTAAATTCTGTGCCACAAGTCATCGATATCTTGAGTTCTGTGAGCCTCAATGCAGAACCTATCCTAAACTCTGCACACTTGCGTGCCATTTTGTGTAGCGACAGCAGTCATTCGATGATTTGCATGAACGTCTCTTTTATGCGCATGGTAAACAGCGTACACAGCCGGTATTATTAGGGCATGATCCTGAATCTCCACACAGCAAGCATACAACCCTTCCCCGCAACCGATACATTTTCCTGGCTACGGCCGAAACTCGGTGACTTTTCCATGCAAAGACGTGATCTCTTCATTGAGTTTATTGCCATGAACATCCAACCAAAAAACGTCGATGTTGAGTTTTGCAAAGACCTTATCTCTGATAATGTTCTAATAGTCACATGATAGTGATACACCATGACCTTACTGTACGGGAACAGGTATAAATGCAGGGCTGACTCTAGGCAAAGTAAAGCTAGCTCTTGTTAAAACATTAGTTGCATATCGGTTAAATTCTGTGCGAGCGCCAAGTGCTCCAACGTTGAGTTACGCATCATTGACTTTTACGTAACTTAACAGCCCCACGAAATTGACGAGGTTTCGGTGTTGTGCTTCTTACCACAAAGTTAGCAATTAATTTTAAACACCACCGAACATTATGCTCGACGTACATGGGGGAGGACCATTTGGAGTCTGCAACACCAAAGTATTTACATTTTTATCTTCATCCACGAGTTTTAGAAAACTGGAGCCTTTGAGCCAAGTCAGTTCTACTCTATAAAAAATATTAGGCTTGAAAGTTGCTATGTTTTCTGAGGTATGGCAACCAAATTGTCGAAAGAAGTCTTCACAGTATTGCAGAGTACTGTTGTTCACTGTTATACTCCAACCCGTTTTCTTGCTTGTTGGGGTAAATACTAAAATTTGAAGAAATTTCTTCCCTATTTCTTTCGTGATCATAAAATCAATTAACATGTGATCCACTTTACTTATGACAAATTGTTTGTGGCAATCAAATTCGTAATGCGAATTTCCATCAAAGGGTTGAGCTAGTAATAACTTGGGATAAACATTGGCGGCCGTATCGTTTTTTCCAATATAAACATTTTTAGTCACGTTCCTTTCGATGAAAGTTGGAAAGTTCAAAACTTCATAATTAACGGACAGGAAAATTATGCATCCCATAACCGGTTTTGCTCGATCACTGATTTGCATAAAATAAAGCTGATGCATAAGTGGTTCCTTGATCTATATGGTAAATTTGGCTCGCTCATTGTTGTCAATTTAAAACTCAATATTAGTGTGAATCATCATAAGGGTAATCCGGTGCCAAATTCTGTCGTGAATAGACCCAGGGATTTTTTTGTTGCACATGACTGTGCCGTTAACGCTTACTAGAAGCTTCAGTCTTCCATGTTCTAAGGAAATTTCAATCGAGTCTGAAGTATTGACCATCGACCACGTTCGCCGAACGAGAACCTATTCCCACTCGGAGTTGAATGTTTGAAAAAGGAATGTAAGAACAAGAACTGGCATAGCAGTGAGCTGAGGCGGGAAAATAATTTGATCATTGATCGGGAAGCACGCTACTTTGTTAGACAAAAAATTGCTGCTGACATTCAAAGGAACTCCAGAAGCACCCCATATCCAGCTTAGCGATGCTGAAAATTTAACTGGAAAATCAAACTTCTTATCTTTTTGTAACTTCTTCATTGCCAATCCAGCCTGCTGAAGCTGATACTCCGTTTCATTCTGCACGCTTAATCCGACATCTTCGTTCAAGAAATCCGTCAACCGAGATAATTTAGCCTTGTTTTACCGGTATCGCTTCTTAGGATTCCTCGAATGATCAATCTTACTAGATGTTGCTCTCACTTGTCTTGTTTCCGGTCGAATTTCATTCACGCTGTTAAATTTTTCGGAGAAGCATGCAATCATGTCAATGTTCGCAGCGATTGCGAACAAAAAGTAGAGAAGCATTTCGGTCCCGACAAAAGCACCAATACGAATTCTAATCTCCCGAACAATTTGCAAGAAATAAAATAATGAGCGTATCTTGTATACATACATAGTTACCCTCGTAATACTAAAACGAAGTTATTATTTAATTTTTTTTTAATTTGACTGATCTTGCAAAGACAAATGGTGTTTAGTTCAAGCGACCTACTATACTTACTTCTACTACTTAGTTTACTTACAGATCGAATGAAATACAGATCGAAGCATCAGCATAAGTAATTCATTCGCAAACCATAAAACGAAAAAAACTCATTAAGTAATGAAAACTTGTTGGTTCACAAGATATTGATTCTTACTATATGATATTTCACATGATTTTATGGTCCTTCTGTATGCCCAATGTTCCAAACTTAATTCCTATATCTAGTACGTACGGAGATGTCCAGATCGGGGTTGAATTAAAATTAGTGATGGTCTCGAACCATGCTGATTGCCTAGGTATTTCAACGGCCTATGGAAGTGGCACAATAAATTGTTCGCCTAATTTATACTTTTTTTTTACTTGAAATCATTGGGTATGTCAGACACGCAACCATAATAAAAGACATTTCAGATGTGTTTTCTCGTTAACAAATTACTTCTGAAAATGCATTCACCTCCTAGATTTGTCATCATAGTTGGTTAAACGGACCGAATCATAGGCAGAATTGATAGCACGGGAGCGACATTGCCTATAGTAATTTGCACAAAAAACGATATATCATTAATATTAATTACTCACAGGTCCTCACTGGACAAAAGAGGAGTGTTGGCCACGGCATTCAAGTGGCGTTCCCTGATAATGGAGATGTTGAAAGTGGCTTTCATGGCCGGCTCGTCGAAACACGGGAAAGCCATGCGGGCGTCGTTCGGTGACATCTGCGTCATCGCCAGGAAACTGCAATGGAAATCGTTTTCGAAAATTTGCAAATTAAATGAGCAGCCCAAAATTGTGTTAATCATCTACAGTGATTGTCTTTTATGTACGCAACCCACGCTTTGTGATTACCTTCGTGATTTATGTACTCAACTCATAGAAAAACGTGATTACCAACTAACACAGATAACTAGCTAATCAAGTAGGATCTCATCTTGATCTATGACCTTAAACTGAGCTGCATAGGATGAAAATGTAGCAAATAAATATTTAATAAACTTACACTTCAGTTCCATTCTCATCGAAGTATGATGAGCGGTAGAAACCACGAAGTTGATCATTCAAATTTCCGACGAAATTCACGGAGAACACATAAACTTCTTCGCGAAGTAGCTGCCTCTCGGTGTTGACGATTAAAAACTGAAATTCCGGGTTGTAACTGTAGTTTAAGGTAACGTCCGTCGTTTTGGATGAACTGGATACCTTGGTCAACTGAAAATATTAGAAAATAATTAGTGTTGATACCAATTCACTGAACAGCGTCAGAGTTACGCGCTATTTACGGTGTTATATTTTAATACTAAATATTTCCGGCTGTAGTCATTGTTCGATGTTGATTCCGTTAGATCACTTAAAATGAATTTACCTTCATGGTGCTGTTATCCAAGCTTATGTCTGATGACATATGCATTACTATTTCCGATGTAGGCTCCTTGACACGAATTTGAATGGCCACTTGACCATCGAAGGTGAAGCTGCCATTAAGGTAGGGCTGAAGGGTGATATCATAATGTTCGGGCACCAGCGATGTGGGGAGTCTGGTTGGGGGAAGGGGATTGGGTTGGGGCTCCGTTGTGGGTGCAGCAGTCGTGGTGGTAGCAGAGTCTGATTTTGATTTATTCTAAAGCAAAGAAAAGACGAAAAGTTTTCATCGATGTCTGCAATTTAAAACTTCACCTGCGACGTGTTAATTGTATTTTTTTCATGTATATGTGTTGTGAGAATTTTTTTATTGGTGAAAACGTTACAAACTATGCAAAGCTGCATACCTGATGATAATATAAACATGATACTTCTTCAATTTACAAAAATAGAGTATTTACATAAGATTTTACAGTTAATTTTCCAATATTCTAAAAATTTACTATTGACTGTAGTAAATAGCAGCTTTTTCTGTACGAGTAAGTGTGATTAACTTAGAGTCTTTTCAATATCCGTAGTATTCGTAATTTATGAGTAGTTTTCAACCCTCGCGTAAAAAATCAGACATGCAACTCATTAGGACTCGTTTCAAACACACACTTCAGCAGACAAACAAAAACAATGTATTTGAATAAATATATCTGCATGTCAGGGTGATTGTTGAAGCGGTTGAAGCCAGTTCAACAAGCTCACCGATAATCCAACCCCCAGCCCAACCGCCAGAGCGATAGCAGCGGCCAGCACAACACCCGCGATGATGGCCCGCTTCTTGGTGACGGTGAAGGGAAGCTTTTCCCACCATTTCTGCTTCCCCAACTGGGAAGAGTTGTCTCCCACCGACATCAATAAGCCTAAATCCTGATAAAACCATAATTTAATTATAATAATATATCCAAGGATAAAACTCTAATTTATTTTATATTCGTACGGGTCGATTTAATTTTTAGATTACAGCATGTGTCACGAGCAGTTTTCAATGCACTGAGGTTTGTAGCAATTAAACATGGCTTTCTCATTGAACAGAATGTAACCATTATTAGGTTTGTATTGAAACAGTTATATTCTACTGAGTCTAAAGACTTACAATAAAAGAATGAGCTGAACTGGGAGACGATAAAGGTAGTGTGACTCTGATCAAACCGACGTCTTCTGCCTCACTGAACTCGGTGCGGCTTTACCGTTCTTTATTAAAACAATCGTTCTGTATCAGAGACAGCGGCTTCTAACACCTACGAGCTAGGCGCATAAAACAATAAAATCATAAATTATACAGCGTGTTGTATAAAGGCGTCTGGGTATTCTTCTTGCGATGTTCATCGTGTAATTTTGTAACAAGAATAGAATTCCTTATACTCTGTAAAGTATAATGAATCAGAATATTCTCTATGTCTTGGTATGCATGTGCAAACCTTATCTCTATATGCAATAAATTTCATATCAGTTTTCCGGTCGAGGTGACTCAGGGCATTCATCCTGAGTTCTGATCAGGAATTTCATTAACTTTTTCTCAGGAAATGCGGCAGTAAATATTAGGTTTTCAATCATGTTTCTCGGGGAATTCAAAGTGAGGAGATCCGCGCACACTGTATTTATTTGCAGCAAAATGAAAGGTTTACAGTAATAGCTTATAATTATAAAAGTTGCAGCGGCAAAATTAGACCTAAAACTTTTTTGCTACAAACATTTGAACCTGTTCAAACATTTTGAGCTGCGGCACAAGAAGAAATGCAGCTTTTGCCGATTTATTATGAAACACTTAAAGTGTCCCATACAAGTTATTTCCATAACTACCAAATTTAATAAAGGCAGTTACCAATATTAAGAGTACTAAATTCTTTCACTGATATCATTTCCGGCAACTGAGTTCAATAGAAAACCGGACGCGCTAACGCCATAACCATAAGTATATTTATGACATATAACAAAACGAATCGTACAAACGTCTCAATAAAAATATTTTATGAAGGTTTGGAAGACATGTTAAAATGTGCGATACGGCCAAAATTAAAATATTGTACCGTAAAAATAACTATGGGTGATGAGTAAATAGAGTTAACGATAAATGTGAAAAATCTTGCGTTTACACTAACTTTATCAAGCCCTGTCTGACCCGATGTATGGATTTAATTACTTGCAATTAAACAATGCAGAAATTAAATAATTTAAGTAAAGCAATTTGCGAAGGGGTCGAATATAAAGTTTAATCTCGCGGATACAATAATAGTATTATATTATCAGCTATGCATAAAAAACTATTCATTTCATCGTTATTAATTAGCTACTATTGCTTTTCTTCCCAAACAGGACATAGTTGAATTTTAACAGCACGTCTACAGCTAAAATAACACTATGCGACACACGCAAGCATATGTGAGAACTTTATCCCTAGGCTGCAGATCAGCAGAAACTCATCATAAATTCGAACATCTATAAAAGTTTGCATTAAAACTTAAGTCACGTGAGAGAGCATTTGAATATAGATAAGAGAGCTCGCTTCTGAACGCCTCTTTAACGCCACGAAAAATCATTTCGGAAAATTATGCTTGCAAAACTCATTTCTACACATGTTCCCTTCCAACCCGTTGTATACCTAGTTAAATTATGTGAATTATACTTGAACACTAAAGATTTGTATTCAGATTTATAACTGAGTACATAATTTAGTACCTTATAGTGTTTAGATTGCAATAATATACTGTAATATCTGCGTGGTCGATGTTACATGGAATCACACTTCACAAAATCTCGTTTAATCACACGCTTTTAATGTAAATGTGTTCATCCAAGAGATGTGTTCTCGCAGCATCAAATAGTTCAGTATTGGATTAATATCGTATTAACACTCAGAGTAATAAGTGAGACTTTGTTCGTACAGCGATGGAGTCTTTGCACTAACGTGTGTCACCCTGACCCAGTTCGGCCCAACGAAAGTACGTATCAGTTGTTCATCCGCTCGCTGATTGTGTAGTGGGTAAGAAAGTTCATCGTATTAGGATAATATGACCTATTCATTTTACAGAGCGTATTAATGTTAATGATTTATTAGTTCATGATTTATTAGTTTTCAGTGTCTTCAGCCGCCCTCCAAAAGCCTCAATTATTGCTGCCAGGGTATGGTCATGGTTTAAGTCTCCTAACGATATTAAATATACGTTGGTTGAAGATAAGCCGTCGGTGTTGAAAGTTTGATTTATTACGACAGCAAGAAAAGTGAGAAAGAATTAATTCGTTCTATAACAATCTTTAAGTTGGTTTTTACAAACAAATAAAATTGTTAATCTGTATCTTGTCGAAGTCGTACAAATTCAGAGGAGTGACTCATTGCTTCACATAGAAAAGAACAAACACACAAACTGTCATAGAATACTTTGATGCAGGATTAAATAATACAAATAATTGCTATTGAAAAACGTAGCCTGTTCTAACATCATGACCGCATTCTTTATTTTTCAATCATAAAGTTTAGAAAGATATCATATGAATTTCCAGGTCACATCACATTGATCGTTGTGATCAAAATTTTGTAAAATCTGTAAGCCAACGAGGAGGACGAACGCAAGCTTAAAAAACGTTGACTTCCGATGACGTTCAGTGAAGCCGCACGATTTTTCACGATCCTTTCTTCGTAAGATAAATATCCTTAATATCCTCTCCTCGTAAGATAAATTCATGTTTGTATAAGCCTCACCGCTGACGATGGCAGCCCTGGGGCCGTACTATAGAAACTCGTCACAAGTATACGTAGCGGCTTAAGTACACGTAGCGGCTTGAATACACGTAGCGGCTTAAGTACACGTAGCGGCATAGGTATACGTAGCGGCTTACTACACATAGCGGTTGAGTTCTTGTCGGCGATTGGTTGTTTTAGTTTGAAAAACCGTCAGTGATAAGCTGACTATGACATCGCCAACTATTTATGATAGTCCGGCCCCTGGAGCTGGACGGTGACCACGCCAGCTTGCGGTCCACCACTTCCCCTGTGCGGTGACCACGCCAGCTTGCGGTCCACCACTTCCCCTGTGCGGTGACCACGCCAGCTTGCGGTCCACCACTTCCCCTGTGCGGTGACCACACCAGCTTGCGGTCCACCACTTCCCCTGTGCGGTGACCACACCAGCTTGCGGTCCACCACTTCCCCTGACACGCGACGAGCGCAGAGCCTCTCAGTAGTGCGGCGGGACGGTGATCAAGGCGTCGTCGGCAGACCGGTTCATGGAACAGTTCTGCAATAGATATGCATTTAAAACTTATGTATTACTGTATGTTTGTATTATTATACAAGGATTATACCATAACTGAAAGTTGAAAAGAGGCGCTCAGGCGTGGCCTGGGAATGCTATGTATGACACGCGTATATACAAAGGATACTATGGATCCAGTATATCTGGAAGACGATATGTACCAGAAAATAAAAAAAGTTATAGAAGAAATCACACTCGCAAACAACTGGATTTAGTATTTATAGATTTTGAAACAACTATTTACGCGTGCATTTTTGGTAGGTTTTGGGATGAAAAATTTCATATACAAGTCATGAAATGAAGTGATCTATGAAACGTATCTTTACTTATTTCAGATATGTTTTAAATACTGTGCATTTACGGTAATAAAAGCATACAGCTAATCAAACTGAAACGAAAAATCTAGCAATGCCTATGTCATGCTTGATTGAGCTTCACAAGTGTGTTCAAGTGCTGCAGTTTTGAATGTGTGCTATACAAGGATTGCATCAGTGCCCCGTGCATGCTTATATGATGTTCGATGCAACACACATAAAAAATAACGATGTACGTCATTTATTTCTTGTCGTTACATTTCGAGGACCTTTCAGCGCAGAAATGGAAAGTACAAAAGCAACACCAAAATAAAACATCGCGTAAAACAAGAAGCTTCTGAAAAGTGTAAAGGGAGGGAAGTGCGAGCGAGTAATAACGACGACGCTAGAGTGACATGCCCAGTACAAGTAAATGATCACAGTACAAGTACACCTAAATTATCCTTATTCAATAACCCAATTTAAAAAATTAAACAGAATGGCTTCTTAAGTACCCGCAAAAGGGCAATTAGAGAACATAATCGATAAATTCTTATTTTATTTCCAAATGTAATACATTAGAACATGAGTAGCGCTGCGAAGCTTTATATAGCAATGCTACCTCTTAAGCTAAACAAACAAGCTGCTCTTGGTAAACTTGGATAACATTTATCAAATAATTATAAAGTTCGAAGCGACATATTAATTAATTTATAGGCTTCCTCTAACTCATTTCGCACACAATTTCGTGGTTTATTTGATGTGAGGAGATTTAGTTATGTGAAAAATTGTTTTCTTAATTATGTCTATTAATCATACGTGAGCAACTGAACATTTCAGCTGCGTCAGCTGACTAAGGAATGTTCTTCACTTTCTTCTAGAGAAGTCGAAATCGTTCTAACGTTTCACATCTCATGTTATTTTCCATCATTGAATCAAAAGTTAGGTAACGACATCGCGCATATCAGAATGAAGAAGGTATAGTGCAGCGGCCCACAATTGCAGTAAAATAATAATATGTACAAACGAATGTTATTATCACCCAAATAATTATTACACGCAAAAACAGATAAAATATTCATCAGGGACGAAGCATTTGAAGCTAAGAATGTTGAAGCAAAAATTATTTATTCTCAAAGCTATAACAAACTGGTGATTTGCGAAGCAGTAATGTTTACTACAATCGCAGGGCAGTGTAGATAATGACCGTATAAATGATACGTGTGAAAATAATAACGGTTAAAACTGTGCGTTTAACATTGTCTTTCACATCACTTTAAATGCTCCCGTACACTCCGGAAATTAATGAATCAATTGTCTAAATAGTGACACATTTCCTTACCCACAGCATGGGCAGAGAGCCTATGTAGCACTGATACCAAAGTGGGTCAAAATGAAACCATATAATGCAAAAAGTGCATCGCTATTTGAACAAAATCTAACTCATTTCTCAGGGTCTATGTCCATTACTGTTATGTTTCAAACTAGACCAGCAATTGTACTGTGGCACTGAACAATTGCGACGCATTTCAGGATACTTTTATTTTGCTCAGTTAATTCCAACAATTCCAACCAGTCCCAGGATAGGAAGTTTTCATTCCAACATTCTAAATTTTAGGAACTGGACGGTAAAATTTTGTTATATCTTGTAACATAATTAATGTTATATTTCAATTTTTATATAATTCATAATAAATAGATTTAATAATCTGTCAACAATTAAACAGCCCGGAGCGCAGCTTAAGCTAATTCTCACTAAGTGTGGGGAGCGTGATCCGTAGACCGAGGATTGCTCTAAAATGATTTTTTTCAGTTTTATCCGAAGCTTCTTGTGTGCTCTAGATAATATCTATTATTATGATGTTCGTTTTGATTTAGGCCAAGTTGGCCCACAATTTTCTCAAACAGTTGTGGATTTCGCACCCTCAACTCACGGCTCCAAAATTGGCGATCTTAACCACACAGGCAGCCTATGCATAAGCATAAACATTAAGTTTATAATGAAGCATAAACTAATCCGTATGGTTGCTTCCTTAAAAATTCCTTGTAAGCATTCAACAATACATGGCCTTTATATAAGTCATGTTCCATTAAATAGCGCAGAAGCCACCAAGTACACAACCTCGATTCAAAGCACGAAATTAGTATTAAAAATAAAATGCTCTTATATTCTTCGAGCCTAAGCTTAAACAAACCCAACCCTTAAGCAATAAAACTCAAACCCTAAAGTAATTATAAGCAAAACTACGGCAATATGGAGAGTCTAACAACCACGTGAAGACCTTGGAAGAGATCTTTGACGCACCTCTCCCTTCTTTACCATTCTTTTTATGCATCGTGTCAGGCGTGGCAAAAACCAAATTTTACAATTGAGAGTAGTTTACGAAATGTTACGAATTTATCTATAACCTTGCTGTAATTTCTTCTTTGATGCACGCTGCACAACTTAATCACATAATTATTGGGATCCATACAAAAAACGCCAAACTGCATCGTCGCGCAAGATCTCTCCGACACTCCGAATGTGGGGCCTCGCTACCGTAGACTTGTTTGACCATCATTGGCACGACGGGAGGTCACACGTATTGTCACACGGAACGCCAATAGATATTTTATCATGCCCACAGCTAAATTATAACCAATCACGTCAAATATCAATGTACATCAGGATGAAATCCAGAGTATACGTTATGATATTGGGTCAATTGAAAGTGGAAAATGTCTTCACCTGCCCCACACGTGCACTCCCAATCGATCCTTGCGAACATCAAAGTTTAAGATATCATTGCAAGCTGTTTATAATACACAATCCTTTCAGTATGATCATCGTGTAGAAGATCACAAATGATATTCACTTTCTCGTGCGATCCCAAATCTCGAACATAGTGAACCCACAATGCTTGGTGTTAATTGTTAATTCGTGTAAACACACAAGCCTCCGAAGATGGGCATGGTTTCATTACCAGCTAAAATTCCGTGTTGAAAAGTTTTGGCACTCAAGCGCTTTTAAAAACGCTTTGTACACTTAGGATTGTGCGAAACGATAACATCTATAACGTGATCCTGGGCAGATTACCTCAAACACGGCTCTAATTCATCCGTTATCTTCATCTCAATGCAATTACGAACTACCTGAATCCAAATCGCAGCTATATAAGCTCCAATAAATCACTGTAGCACGCAAGTCAGAAGCAACACGAGCATCTGCAGTGAATGGCGAAGGTAAAATTCGTGAATACTACTTCTTCACTGGAAAAGTTCACTTGTAAATCTTGTAGATGGTGGTTTTGACACATCCCTCATCATCTTCTTGGGTAGAAGAAAGATCTTTGGAAGGAGACACGCACATTTTCTTGACAAGCCCTTGGACGGCCGTGACTTCGACCCTCTCCTGGTGGATCACATCCTCGGGGCCGAGATATTCTTCCTTGCCCTCATCATTGCGCGTCACCTAAAACAATTAACACACTGAGTGCCACCACTACATCACATGCATACCGCCATCTGTATATCATTAAAGGAAGTGAATAAAGACCTAAAACAATTAAAATACTAAGCGTCATCCCCAAAGTAAATAAATGCCACCATCTTTATATCATTAAAGGAAGTGAAGAAAGAAGTCTTGTCAGGGAACAAAGAAGATGAGAGACCAGTAAGGTGGGAGCTAACCAAGCTGTATGATTTATTTTGATTGTAGGTAGAAATTTTTAACGCTAATGTAGGAGGTAATATATGGTCTAAACCTGCGCCAAGTACGGCATGGTGGCAGGAAACGAAAAGTACCTACCCACTTTATGTTGTCTTGCAGGAAATAATGAGAAAATATTTTCCAGGATTGGATACTACGACATCAAGCTAAACAATTTTAGTAAAAGAATCATAGAATTGAGAAGAACGTCACAAAGAATCGTAGAATTGAGCTATTTTGTGGCAGAAATAGGAAGAGAAGTTTCATGTGTCACCAATAAGTCACGTAGAGAAAGGTTTTATTCACAGCAAAATGAGAAATAGAAATCTATTCGTACCACAAAGAATGCAATGTAAATGACATTTTATTTTGCAGCACATAATTGTCAGAAAATAGTATTTTTAAACAGGATTGAAGCGCACGGTGTGATTACATAAGCTTGTAATATGTTAATTAACATGGTTAAGCTAAACTATGAAATCATGACTAACAAAGGCGCACTAATTAGAACAAGATAAAGCAATTAACTATTTATGATTGGAACTGCCCTACTCGAAAGACTGCACACGCATTATGCATTTTCCATGATATGCATTGTGCTATGACACATACTACTCTGCAACAGCACCAGTTTTGTACTATCATGAGATGTTATAAATCACTTCTCTGCAAAAGCACGACTGTTTTACGATCTTAATTCAAGCATAAGCTACGACTATGACAATGAGCAAATAGTTCTGCTACTTCACCACTTAAAATTTGCAACACCAGTAAAAATCCATGTAAAAATAAACCATTCATAAAAACCGTAACCTGAATTCTAATTTTAATGCGTAACAACCAACATTCGCTTCGTTCACAGACAAGGGCCTTTTTGACAGTGAATCTGCATGCGCGCCATGAACATTTGTGTTGCGACTGATTCAAATCCAGTAACATGTACAAATAAACATGAATTTGTACAAATGTATTAATATGAATGGCGTGCAGCTGTGTACGCACATATACAACGAATCGCGTCAAGGGAGTCGATTACCGAAACAAGAACATTGAAAAATAAAAAAAATATTACATTAGATAGGAATGAAACTGTGAAACTGAGCAGAAACTTTTGCGTGATTTATTACTTCACTTGTGCATGAAAATCAGATTTCCGAGTCCATTTTCCCTTCAGCGTTTTCTCAGATTAATATAAAAATAATATCACAAGCAAATTCAACATGAGATAATTCAATTACATGCAGGTTCGACAAACAATAAAGAGCTGCTGAAATTTAAGAACTTCGATATGCGTCTCGGCACTGCAAGCGTTTCGTGATCACGATTATTCGTAATTTAGTAGAGAATATAGTCAGCGTTTCATGAATTCAGAGAAATGAGATTTTTGAAATATTCAAGAAAATGTTTTTAATACAGTAAAATAATTTAGAAGAAAAGAATTCAGAAAGTTAAAACGGGCAACAATAAGGAACATTTCTCAATAATTAACGAATGAGAGCATGATACATATTTTTTAAAACCTGTACGTTTAAAATATCAGCAGAAGCAATTCGATGAGCAACACATTAATTACATTCCCCAACACGGAACGTGCATTTACGGATTGCAACACCAGAAATTGGATTGCAACACCCCCATTGCAACACCCCCAACTTCCCTTGAAGTATTGTTAAGGGAGACTTTAGTTTATATTATACTGAAACTGTACTTATAATTTAACACAGCTTGGGATAACTAAAAAAACGATAAAAATTCCCGAGTAACAGGCGACAGTGAAGTGAACGCATCACACCAAGGGGACTGTTGAATGCCTTCATGAGGAATCATTCAAGTGAAATAGAGGCAAAGTTTGCAATTGAATGGCATATAAATTTAAGGTTTTGCACTCGATACTCTATTCACTCGTCACTAACTGGGGGAACTCATTAGCCTTAACTACGGTGAAATATCGACGATGAGCTAACACAATTTTTTACTGTCGGAAATCAAAAAGAATTTCAATTGTATCTTAGATTTTGAACTATTGCATTTTCCCGTGAGAGGTAAAGGTGTCTATGCATTCTCTAACACTTAAAAGATAATTGAGGTACTCAACCGCTTCGGGTCATCGTCAGGAAATTAGTCACCGAAAATGCGTGCATAATTGCCCTATCTGGAGTTTCCTTCAGAGACTTCGAATCCTTTTGCATAATTTCACACACACGAATCCTGTTAACAATTGATCTCAGCAGCACATCTTATCTAAACCCAACTCTGGCAGCCAGCCAAGCGGACAAATTCTGGTACTACCCACATCTTACCTAAACCCAACTCTGGTAGCCAGCCAAGCGGACAAATTCTGGTACTACCCACATCTTATCTAAACCCAACTCTGGTAGTCAGCCAAGCGGACAAATTCTGGTACTGCACAACTTAATCTTAACTTAACGTACACTTTCTGCACAACTAACGACGACGGACATGATGTGTAATTACGCGCGTTGTGTCACCCAAAGCGCATGCAACGTTTCAATTAAAAGCAGGAGCGTTTTCAAAAATCGAAACATTACCTATGTAAAACACATACTTTACTGAAGCTTGCTGATTTATAATTACATAATCATTAGAGTGCATTACACACTTAAAATTTGTGAACTATAATTATAGCAATTCACAGAATACTAACACTAAATGCGATATGTAAACAATAATACTAGAAAACTATCTGCACGAGAGTGTAGCATAGGCAAAGCTTCATTCTATATTTTTAGTAAAATTTAGTAAAATTCCAATCATACATTTAAAATAAGTTTAACTTCGATGCACGTGGAAACCATTGTGCACACAACACTTGTTTTGAACTTTAGATAGTAATAGTATGCCGCAGTCTCGTCGGTGACTGCAAGACTGCTTTACTCACAAGGAGCATGCAGCTGGCAAAACTACGTTACTCACAAGTGAACAAGACGTTGTTACTCACAAGTGAACAAGACGTCGTTACTCACAAGTGAACAAGACGTTGTTACTCACAAGTGAACAAGACGTTGTTACTCACAAGTGAGCAAGACTGCGTTACTCACAAGTGAGCAAGACTGCGTGACTCACAAGCAAGACTGCGTTACTCACAAGTGAGCAAGACTGCGTGACTCACAAGCTGAACAAGACGTTGTTACTCACAAGTGAGCAAGACTGCGTTACTCACAAGTGAGCAAGACTGCGTGACTCACAAGCAAGACTGCGTTACTCACAAGTGAGCAAGACTGCGTGACTCACAAGCAAGACTGCGTTACTCACAAGCAAGACAGCATTACTCACAAGAGGTTTGCAGCGATGGGTGTCGACGCAGTCTATGGGGATCTTGAAGAGCTCGACTTTGCAGCCGTAGGCCTGGGGCGTGAGCTTGATGATGGAGTGCAGGGGAACCTTCAGGTACGGCAGCTCCTCTGCAATCACGGCAAATACATTGGAAATATAACTCAGTACTCACTGCAGTGAGTGACAGAGAGCGCATTTTCTCGTCGACGAAAACGTGAAGTCACGGACGGACGGACGGACGGACGGAAATGACGAGCACAATAGGACATTTTTCCATAAATGAGAAAATGCGCTAAAAATGCCCCTGCTGCCAAAACTTTAGATAAAAAAATGTTGGCAGAAACTTTTAGTTAAGAAAATATATTTTGTATCTATACAGTATATCACTGCAGTGAGTGACAGAGAGCGCATTTTCTCGTCGACGAAAACGTGAAGTCACGGACGGACGGACGGACGGACGGACATGACGAGCACAATAGCGCATTTTTTCCATAAATGAGAAAATAAGTTAAAAACGGCCAGTTCATTCGGCTTTAAATCTAAAGGAATTAGTGAAATATGATTTTCAAATGACATAAATAAGTATAAAAATGGAATTCACACAGTGGTGTTTATAGTGTTCATTCTTTACTGAAATATATACAAAAAACAATACACTTTGTTCCGGCTGCATGTCTCTCAGTAAAAAAATTCACTGTCTTCTACACACTAAGCACAAAAAAATTCCTATTAAATCCTTGCTAGACTCAGACACTACTTTTTAGCTCGACACAGAATTTCCCTATTTTCTTTGCTCGACACCCACTCTTCACTATTTTCTTTTCTCAAAACAAACTTCCTATATTTTAATCACTAAACACGGACTTTAAATATTTTTTACTCGACACCCTTTCACTTTTTAACCCTTTCAACAAAACATTTCTCAATTCATTCTTCATTTCTCACTAAAGGGAGGTGAAATTCTCCAGGTGATATTGATCAGTTCTATATTGTTCACCTGGGAGGTCAACAATATATTGTTATATATTGTTCACATCCCTGGGTCCCATTGTTGTTCACAATATATTGTTTTTTATTGTTCACCAGGGAGGTGAACAATATATTGTTCTAAATTGTTCACATTCTTGGGTCCTACTCCTATTGTTGTTCACAATATATTGTTTTATATTGTTCACCAGGGAAGTGAACAATATATTGTTCTATATTGTTCACCAGGGAAGTGAACAATATATTGTTCTATATTGTTCACCAGGGAAGTGAACAATATATTCCCCATGCCGTCCCCCTCTCACCGCCGGTCTTGTCGAGGAAGTACGCCAGTACGCAGCGCAGCACGGCCTGGTGGCCGACGACCAGCACGTTCTCCTGGCGCTCCAGCTCCATCATGACGCTCTCCAGCCTGTACACCACGTCCTCGTAGCTCTCCCCACGGGGATACCTGATATTGAAATGCAGCAATGTGATGAAATGCAGCAATGTGATAAAATGCAGCAATGTGATAAAATGCAGCAATGTGATAAAATGCAGCAATGTGATAAAATGCAGCAATGTGATAAAATGCAGCAATGTAAACCCACCACATCCTCGTAGCTCTCCCCACGGGGATACCTGAGGAGTCAACGTGATGGTTGACGCCAGGAAATTAAATACAATATCATACAAAAAAATAACAATGGTGCATGAGTAACCAAACGAAAGTGTTAACCCACGAAAATTAAATCTAATAATCGTAGTCAAAGGGATGGTTGACGCCACAAAATTAAATACAATATCGTACAAAAAATAACAATGGTGCTTGAGTAACCAAACGAAAGTGTTAACCCACGAAAATTAAACCTAATAATCGTAGCTATTCTCACACTCACTGGGGTACGTGAGTGACCAAATTGATAATAATACCAGTAGAGCTCACCTGTATTGGTATTTATTGTTGTCACGAGCAGCGAACTCTCCAGGCAGTTGTTCCTGAATTTCTTCGTAAGTCAGGCCCTCACAGATTCCCTGTATAAGCAATACAAATTATAATTAAAAAATGAATAAAAACTTCTCGTATCGACGTAACTCTTGTATCAAGAAATCACGAAAAGATTGATTGCTGCAAGCAGTCACACACTCGTATATTAGAACAGCTCTGACGATCACTAACGATAACAATCCGATTTAAATTAAACCGACTTTTTTGTGGCACCAACAGAAATTATAAATTGATTGCTAAACCCTCAATAGCAAAGATCCTGGTGTGAAAAAAATTAATTCTTGAGGCAAGATTTGGAAACAGAGAATTCCACAACAAAACTACTACAAATATAGCCACAACACTCACTGCGTCGATTTCATTGAGAGCTTTCCAACGCTCCTGAGGCGCGTCGATGTTGCTGGCAGTCTGAATGGTCCTCTTCATGTACGAGGTCCAGACTCTGAGGTTGGGGATGTTTTGGCTCTTGATGAACTTGGCCAGAGCCTTGGAGTACTCCAGACCGTTGGGCGACAGGTCCGAGTCACCGCCGATACGCCCCATTTGGTTGAACACACTCTCGCCGTGCTGTTCATGCACATTATTTGTTGGCTAGGCAACGATGTCTCAATGTTTGTTATCATAAGGGTTCATAGAGGTGAAAAAATATAACTCAGTACTCTCTGCAGTGAGTGACAAGAGCGCATTTTCTCGTCGATGAAAACGTGAAGTCACGGACGGACATACAGACAGACGGAGGGACAGGCGGACATGGCGAGCACAATAGTGCATTTTTTCCATAAATGAGAAAATGCGCTAAAAACCGAACCAAATGTTAAATGCGCTATCTCACTACCAAATGTTAGATGGGATTTTAAGAAATATATTTTCCGTACCGTATCGAACAATACATACCTAATCAAAATATGAACAAACCACATTGTACTTGATTCAAAACCATATGGAACACACAGCAGTGCATTGTTTTCTTAAATACAATCAATAGAATGCAGCATTCTCTTTTAGGCCCGCAAGTAAAGCAAAGTAAAGTAAGTGGACGTAATAAAACCTCCTTTTATACTTATTAAAAAGAGCTGACTCACTCTGGTGAGGTAGATGGAGCGCGGTGTGATGTGAATGTTCATGAGATAATAAGCAACTCTGCTCTGAATGTGTCCCTCCTGTTTGTGAACAACCACACGCCGACCTGCGAACAAACGCGTACATGAGTGAACACATCAGCGGGTTATTGGTGACGGGAAGGCAGCAACTTCTAGGGAAACATCAAGTGCTTGCCGAAAGAGAAGTTGAGGTCACTAATTCAACTACAACTGTAAATATGTGCAGAAAAACGAACGAAGAAGATTATTACGTAACTCATATAAACTATTGATAATTTTGGTGTTGGAAAAAGCTGGAATAAATTTCAAAACCCCTACGAAGGAACTTATTACATTACTTATATTACAAATCATACACCATTCTAGCTCAATTTGATACCGATAGGAAAATGTTGGAATAAATGTCGACAGACCAGCATCGAAGATCTTCATGAAGCTGAAGGTCTTCTCGTTCTCCTCATCGATGGTCTCGTAGCGACTGCAGTAGTGGTCGATCCTCTTGAGGAAGTCGCTGACGGCGTCCTCGGTCGCCATGTCGCTGTAGTCGGGGTTCGTTACTTTGCTCTCCTGTCAACAAAGTTAATTACTTGACGATCAAAAAGAAAAACAATAAACCTTTATGCATAATTCACAAATCGCAACAAATTAACAAAAGAGTTAAGTTTTTTCAAAGCATTGAAAACCATCACGTGATGAAACCGTCACGTCTATATACGAGTACATATAGAAATTTAATTATTGCTCTCCAGCCAAACACATTTCAAAAAAAGAAAAAATTCTCTCTAGATTATACAGAAAGCATTACACTTTTAAATTTTCATTCGTTGCATCCAGCCCACCTCTTCAGTTTTGCTCAGCATAATATTGGCCTCGATGATTATTGGCTCATTGCAGATAGACTCGGTGAAGAAATGCTTGTAGCCTAGGCGCTGGGCTCACATTAATGAAAGAAAAGATGCTCTCCTCTTAAATGAAAGCAGTTCGAATCTACCATTTCCATTCATTTTATGGGGCTGATCTCACCAGTTTTTCTCACCATAATATTGGCCTCGATGATCTTAGGCTCGTTGCAGATGGACTCGATGAAGAAGAGCTTGTAGCCGAGTCGCTCGACGATGATGTGGTGGATAAGCTTGCGACGTTCCTGGGAGATGTTGGCAGCATCGTACACCCCCACCTGTCCTCCTGACGCTAGGAACTCTACTACATCCTGCAACAAAATGGTTATAATGAATGGTTATTGGGACATGAATGAGAGTACTATTATGAAATATGAATGAAACTCTTATTTAGGCGAGGGCGAATTTACTATCTAGACATGGACGATACTACTAATCAGACCTAAATGAAACTACTATTTAGAGCGGAACGAAACTTTTATTCAGGGATCAATGAAAGGGATGAATCATACATTGATTAAACTTTTTCAACAGCACGGAGAGCTTTTGCTAGTATCCCGAAGTTTCATTATTAACAATAGAAAGTGACATCCCATAGTCATATCTTGATGATATTAAATTTAAGGAATTTGAAAGTTTTAAACGCTTCTGATCTAAGACGACATTTGGTTGCGTAAGTTTGACGTATTTCCCGTAGAGGAAGCAGAACACAATAATTTACGACGTAGCTCGCAAAAGTACTACTAATACGACGAGCCAAGCAACATCTGAATAAATGCGTATGATAAAATCAGAGCAAGGAAAAAACCAAATCCAATATCAGATTCATGCGAAAGATAAATTCAGAGCTACGTAATCAAATATCAGAATTCAATCATCCCAGTCCGTAATTTTGGCCGAGGCGGCAGCGGGTTCAAGCATGGTTGAATTAATTCAACCATGCTTGGGCTCACGTGTGTTGCTGCATGTGCCAAATCCTTCGCTCAACCTAATGAAATTGCCTTGGCAGCACCTAAATATTTCTCTGCTTGCTTAACGTATACTTTTCAAGCAGAATATTAACCACATATTCGTTTTGCGTCTTTTGGTTTTCTCTGAATTAAATGAAACACTGTGTTTTGGAAACGACTAAACTAAACTAAGCTAAAATTATTCTCACTTCTATATTGAAAACTGGCGAGTAACAAGGGAATGGGTATCAGACCAGATTTACACACAATATATAATCATCAATTAGCTACCACAACGCTTGCAGCTAACGCAACAATCTCAGGTAGTTAGATTAGGTTCAATCGGACGGCAGGTCTCAGCCAACTAGGCTCGTCCAAAGTCCTTTCTCTTGGCTTCCTGCCCGTCAGACGGCTGAGCTTGGGCGTGTATACGTCAAGAGAACAGATGTGTAATACTAGGTCATTCGTGCCTATATATACTTAAGCATGTGTATATATTTGTTTGTTCATAATCAATTCAGTATGGGTATACTTCCGGGAATATAGTATATCTGATACATAAAAATCCGCATAAATATATGAGAACATACTGAAATAACCAGTACCAGTAATGAAATAAAGTGGGAAACAATTCCTTCTACTGTATATATAAAATCGATATAATGATGTTTCTATACATTGGCTCCAAATGTAATAACGTTTGAAAAGCGTAGTATGGATTAAAATCATCTTGAGCCAATACTTCCTCCTCCGCAAAGAACATGAATGTTAACAATTCTTACACGTCCTTAGCGCGACTTAACAATCATACTATCGAAATAAGAATGACATTATGAATTTTCTTCAAAATTCATTATCTTTTGGCTGGTGATATAAATTGCTGCCTTAGCACGACTTTTCAATCATATATCTATCGAAATAAGAATGACATTATGAATTTTCTTCAAAATTCATTCATTATATTTTGGCTGGTGATATCAACTGTTATTTTCACCTGAAGCGCGTCAAGAGCCACTCTGTTGCGGATGGCTGTCCCTTCTCTGTTGCCGGTCAAGAAGAAGTCGTGTCCAGGGAAAAGTTCCATTGCCTTGCGCCGGTAATCCCCCACGTTAAAAACTGCGCACAGAATTCCCTTATAAATTCTGAGAGATGTTCACATAAAAAATTGTACGGGACATAACATTAACTGTTTATGCAGTGAAAGACATTTAGTGCTACCTGTGAATTATTATGCGGTACAATTAACTTTAAATGTAAAAAAATATTATAAGCATAAGATGAAGTGTTGATGCATTGAAAGACGCTTACAGCGGTACCTTTGAATTATTATGTGGTAAATTTGAATTAAAACACTCATTATACCTTTGAATTATTATGTGGTAAATCTGAATAAACACTCATTATATGCATAAGTTGCATAACGTGAAGAACTGTTAATGCATTGATATTTGATAACCACTTTAATTGCACGGTACCTTTGGTCGGCATGCCAGCCCAGTTGAGGTAGCGGGCGAGCTTCATGGCGATGAAGGTCTTGCCTCTGGCAGGCAACCCCACCATCGCCACCACGTGGGGGATGTTCACAGCATCGATTGGCGGGTCTGTTTAGGGCAAAAATAATCAAATATAATACGTATATTCGAAAAAATATAATAAGTATATTCGAAAAAATATAATACGTATATTCGTATAATTATAATAAGTATATTCGAAAAATTATAATACGTATATTCGTATAAATATAATACGTATATTCGTATAAATATAATATGTATATTCGTATAAATATAATAGGTAGATTCGAAAAAATATAATACGTATATTCGTATAAATATAATACGTATATTCGAAAAAATATATACGTATAATTGTAAATGATAATAGAACGCTCAGTTTAAAACTCACACTTAAATTGTGAGTGATCGAAATAAAGTGACAAAATAAGGTGACAATGATACGCGGTCACGACCAAGATGTAGCAAATGCACGGAAGTAAATCGGAAGAGTCAATTTTATGAGAAGTAAACGAAAATTCGTCTATAGATAGAACAATTGCCTAAATCCTATCTTGTTTCCAAGATATCGAAACAAAATTAATAAATTCTGATTCGAAAATGAATTGCTTCCATGCGTATAAACAACTCAAACAACGTGACTGTCACACGCAGTCTGACAGTCACGTTTAAGACAGTAACGAGACAGTTACCCGAATGAAAAAGTTACTGTCTCGTTCGAGACAGCATTTTTATATAACGTTGCCTCAAATTTCTAAATTAAAACTTAGTTATATTTGCGGAGCTTATGAGTGGCATTGAAATGCGTATTTTGAGGACGCCTAAAAGATTTCGATGTAAATAAAACATTTGTTTCAATAAAGTAATTGTGAAAAAGCAATATAAAGGAATTTAAATTTGATGTTATATCAAATGAATAATCTTTTAAATCTGATCAACATCAGAAATTAATCGTATGATGTAAATAAAATGCAGAAGGTAAATATACAATGACAATTGTTTATAAATGTATATATACAATGACAGAATTGTATATAAAGCGCATTGTAGCGCTTTATATGCGGTAAAATTGGTGGTGACCGAATGGCTTTATGAACTCGACGAGCAAGTAGCAAGGATCCTCAAAGATGGCGAGTTGAGCTGACTTTGGTCCATTTGAAGTGACTTCATCTACGATTTATCTACACCGCAGCATCGCACAGCGCAAGCTTTACGTGCCATGAATACAACTTTTAAAATCAACTTTAAAATTCGCAATGCAGCGGCATTTCAAAAGACAAAAGCATGCCAAGCGGTATGAAATAAAGTGCATGAAATAAACATGAGTAACATAATCGGAATTTAGAGCGCACACTCAACTCTTATAACAAGGCGGAGCAGTTTTTCAGTAGTAATGGAATGGAAACAATGTCAAGAGTGACACAGGTATTCAGACAACACAATTTATAAACAAACAAACAAATTTTAAATCTTCTCTATAGAAAAAAAAACATCCGTCCGACCTAATAAAATATATTCTTAATAAAAATCCTCAAGAAGTCTGCCGAGATTTACATTGTACGCGACTTGGATACTGTTAGAAATATTAATGTTGAATGGCTGTGCCTATGTCGCAATGGTATTGAGCAACAGACCGTAGAAACAGGACTTAAATCTCAATGCAAGATGAGTTATATAAGCAGCGAAGACGGGATGAATTAGAAGTTCTGAACTATAGCCTTAGACAAATGCAGTTCACATTCTGATACATGTGGTGCACGTTTTGCCACATATGCTGCACATTCTGCCACAAATGCTGCACATGCTGCCACATATGCTGCCACACATGCTGCCACATATGCTGCCACACATGCTGCCACATATGCTGCCACACATGCTGCCACATAAGCTGCCACATAACGCCCCGCGTAGCGAGGCAAACCTTCGCCAGGTTGAAGGTGCCCTTGACGACCTCATGCAGCCGCTTACCTTCCTGCATGGCAACCGAGACCCAGGCATCAAAAAATGTTTATAACTATAATAATACTTCGATAAAGATAACCTGACAAGAAAATACATTGTTATATCTAATTTAGAGCACGGTTGAATCCCGTGTCGCCTTGAAATAAAAACCGTGGCATCACTCTATAGAAGTGCCGTGTTTTGCGGGTATGGCTGAAATATATTTTTTGCGCGCATTATTGTCTTCTGTATTTAAGGATTTCATTACAGATTTTGTGGATCAAGACTAATGTACAGAAAATTTGTGGGAATATTGATCATGCAACACAGTCGAATAACCGCGTGTATCGAATGAATTCAAAGCGACCAATATTGCGCTCAATATCGAACGAAAAAATCGTTTTGTCTTGTTATGGGAATGGAAGCCGCGTTTTAATTAACCAATGCCGGGACGAACAAATCGCTGAAATGTACTCTGACAGCACAGATTGCGCTTGAGTGAAATATATGAATAAATAATATATTTTGTATTTACAATAAATATCAAATCATTTGCCTCAAAATAAATAAATAATATTTACTCAGCCTAAATAATTAATACTTAGGCTTACATATTATATCTAGGCTTAGCTCTTAATGAAACTGAGGGGTCAACGTGAATGATGAATGAGACAAATGTCTGATTTTCGGTTATAGTTGCAAGGTTGCACTTTTATTTGCGGTTATTGATCAACCTGAACCTGCAGAATTCAGACAAAAAATTTCGTACCCTGACTCATTATAATCAATTGGAAATGTACCTATAGCAATACCACAATGTATTTTATTTCTCAGTTACAAATTTATTGCACTGCTGGCAAATAGTTGTGTAACGTTTTTAAGAATGAAATTTTCCTCTCAGCCCTCGTCTTTGGAAGTGAATGCTAGGCTCCCATTATCCCACCTCACTCATTACAGATTTACTAATTTAGCAAGGCCAATTCTGTTAATTTTTTTAATTAAACTGTTACTAACCTCTTCGCTATCATAAATGAATAAGTGACCCGTTTTAATTAAGTTTCGCTAGCAACAAGCCTAACAAAGCTATTTCTGTATATACGTGTGCAAGTTCACGAACCTAATCACGTTGAAAGGCTCAACGCAATAGGCTGAGCGCTCCTCGCTCCTATTGGCTGCCACGAAGGAGTGTCCGAAGGCGTGCATTGAGCTCGACTGTTTCTCGTTGCGAGTTATTGCAACACATGCTTGAGACTGCGTTGACCTAAATTATTTATTTTGAAGTTTTCTTACTAAACAGTAACGAGTGCCTATTTGGAAATTTTGGTTTACTCTTTATTCAATAACCCATACCCGACGGAAAGGAGCGACTTTTACAGCGTATATATAAGAAACCAATTTAAAAATCTGTATGATTAAATAATTTAAATTTGTAGAAATCGATTACATGCGAGAGCGTAGTGGAAATCAAGTAAAGCAAACGTACATTGAATCTACAGAAAATAAATTCATAACTATCACGAAGGAATTTAGTCAGTATAAGAGAACATATTGCTTGTGTAAGAACTGCTTCGAGGCATTGATGCCGATAATTGATCAAGGAAAAGTTAGTATCAGCTGATAATGCTTCTGATACTGGAAGAAAGGCTAGATAGTGCAGGATGGGATGGCGAGGCCAAGACTTTCCGAGTCGGTAACCGACCTTATCAGTCGGTTATCTAACCCTAGGAAAGTTGAGAAACTTTGAGTTCTATTAAATGGAACTCAGTATACGACCCTGCATTGAACAGAACCAGCTGCAGTTAGCAAGGCACTCAGGGCTGCTCGCTATCCTCTGAGTATCGTAGTACGTCACTTACACGTGTCGGCAGAATGGCACTCTAGTGTAAGAGGAAAATTCTCAACCTCAACTCTGTTGCAATTTTCTCAGCCTTGTTACAACGTTTAATGCAGCTGCTTGAAGGTTTCTCGGTTGAAATTAAAATTATTGTTGACAATACTAATAACGAGAACACATGGCAAGAAGCATTTAATCTCTAGCAGCAACGAAGTAAACTTTCGACAACACCGCTTCTTCGCCCACGCCGAGACCCCCATTCTCTTCCCCCACATATTGATCGATGGCTCAGGGAGCATGGAAAGTGAAGGGGTAGGGAGGGAAGGGAGAAAGAGCATGAACAAACTAGAAGTGTTCTGGAGGGCAGCGCTCCAAAATGCCCACCGCAATGTGAGGAAAATTCGTTAGTAACCACGATTTTTATTCGCTCGTTGTTCGACATCATTGGTATACGAGTTCTAATTCCAAACCTAAGGCTAAAGAGTTTAAAAACGTTGGCATCGGAAATTTCAGGGGATTTTGCTGTCAAGCATCCGGTCGGTCGACCAGTTGCGATATGTGGTAAGTCAAGCACGCGATTTTAATTTTATTTGATTTACGTTGCTTTATGTACCTTTCGCATCTACTGAAGTCTTGGGAAGCATTCGCTCTTATCTCGATGGCTTATCATCTAACGTATTCACAGTGCGCCTCGTGCAGCACTCATTAACTTAAAATGAAACTCACTTTAAATGAAATAATAAACAACGCATTTAGAAATGAAACAGACGTACACATAGGAGCAGAGACCATTTTGTAGTACTTGTCAGTAGGCAAGGTGACCGAGAGCTTCAAGTTGCTAGTACCAAGATGTAAACAGAGTTCGGTCCTGCTAGCTGGCAGCAACCGTTCTGGTAAAAATCGGTGAGGTAGCCTGTAGTTGACGTTTGGAGCATTCAGTTGAAGGTTCAACGCTCTAGCAAGCTTCAAGTATACTGTGATGAATGTATCGGCGGATTTGGCCTAAGAATCTAAGTTAGCACCAATATTGCAATTTCAAAATGTTCTAGACGTAAAATATACAGTTATTCCTATTCTAAAATTGAAGTTTATGATGGAATAAACCATGTTATTAGATTGAAGTTGATTTAGAAACGAAAAGATCAGAATTATTTCGTACGTTAAATCAAATATGATCGCACATAATAACCACGAAATTATCGGCAATTTTTGACACGGGCTTACAGAATATTCAACAGTCGCCTCTATTAATGCGATTCTTATTGATTTCTTCGAACAGAAGATTACCAATTAAAGCTTTCATCAAAAATTC